TTAAAAGCTTTGGTGCCGCCTTGATGTCTTTGTCCTGGAATCCCATCTTAGTCAACATATCTTTAAAGATGATATTAACCGTGCTGCCGGTATCCACCAAGATTTTAGCCACTTCGCTGTCGTGGATATGTAGTTCGACCTCCAGCGGGTCGTTATGAGGGGTGTGTAACCCATGCATATCCTTCGATGTGAAGGTGATCGTGGGGTGATAGGCCACGGGGCGAGGGAATTTTTGCGATCCGACTGCTTTTCATCCATACTCTTTGATGGCACGGACTGAGTCGTTGCAGTCGGGGAGTCTTCCCATGATCATGTTGACCCGTCGCTTCGGTGGTGGAGGCGGATTTTCGTGTTCTCCTTCGTCGTTCTGACGCTCTTCTCCTTTTTCCTTCTCCTTTTCTTTGTGCCTTCTTTCGGGCATTCGACTTTGGCGCCTTCCTCCAGAACTGCATCGACTGCTGTTTTTTCCCAGATCCCTGCAGTCCCGAGTGGAAGTGGCCGGACGCGAGTCCCTGGGGTTTGAACTGCGTGAATAGGAGCTTTTACTCCGGGATCGATCGCTTCTGATGTTGATTTTGCCTTCTTTGTATTGTTCATACAGTGTATTTTGGAGGTGTCGACAGACCGAAGTAGCATGTCATGTTCGTCCGTGAAAAGAGCAGTAAAGGTCGTGATTATCGTCCATATCGCTTGTGCTCCTTGGGGGGTCTCCTAGGGTCCACTGATTCCAGGGCTTCTCTGTAGTTGCTACAACAGCGTGAGAGGAGGGCTTGCTTTTACTCGCAGGCTCCTCGTCTTTCGAAGTGCTTGCCGTGTCCATACCGTGTTTCTTGGCATAGAATGTTTTCTCCTCCTCCATCCGTATGAAGGTCTGGGCCCGATGGAGTGCGTCTTCTATGGTTTCCTTCGGGTGTTTCTGTAGATCTTCTTTGAAAGAAGATTCGTACCACATACCGTTCATGAGTGCTTCGATGGTTAAGACTTGAGGAATTTGCCCATATGCCGCGGCGGCGTTCTTAATTTTTTCGATGAAGTCGCAGAGTGGTTGGTCGCGCTCTTGCACTAGAGTGAACAGGTTGACCATCCTCTTTGTGATGAACATGGAATAATGTTTGATGAAGGCGTGAGTCAGATCCTTGAAGGATTTGATCGAGGCCGGGGGTAGGTTAGAAAACCACTTCAAAGCATCTTTGTTGAGGTGTTCTACAAAGGTTTGGCAGTGGTTGGCTTCTCGTTCGAGGTCGGTCTCGAATCGTTGCATCTTCATGGTGACGTTGAATCCGGTCAGCCATAGGTTGGGATCCTCCATCCCGTTGTAGTATGGGAGCTTCAGTTTTGTTGCCTCACCGAGTCGGACGTCGGTGATCCACGGGGTGAATGGATTGCGTTCTGAATCCGAGAGAATGGCTGAGATCTCGGGCGCCGAGCTGGTGGCTCGATGGACTTGGGATCCGATCGCGTTGAATCGTTGGTGAAGCCTTGCGATCTCGGAATTTAGTTTGCCAGACGGCTCCTCATTGTCAGCTGCTGTACTTCGGATGTTGTTTTGCTCTGGTGTTTCGAAGATTAAACGTCGCCCGATCGGCTCTGATCTCGCAGTGGTTGCAGCTGCGAAGGCGCTGAGTTGCTCATCGTATTTGGTTTGCTGGGCCTGCATGGCGGCCTGGATAGCTGCTGCGAGGTCAGCGGCCTGAAGGGGAGCTGGGGGTGCTCCCGCGGGTGGATTCGCGGTATTGACGTTCATACGTTCATCGAGAGCGGGTGTCTCGGTGTGAGTGGTGTCGTCGTCGTTGCGGATGAGATCGCTGTTGTCGACAGGGAGACTCATCGCTTCGGCTTTCTTACTTGGTTTTTAAAAAGTTATTCTCCTAGTCCCCACAGATGGCGCCAACTGTTGAACCAGAAAATCACCACTAGGGTTTGATTACCAGCTGTGGATTTCGGAGAATAAAGTCTTTTTATTAATAGTATTAAGCGAAGCGATTACAAAGAAAAGGTATAACCGAAAGGTTATGCCGAAGTGAAAAGGTGTTTGCGAAGTAAACTAGAAAGCGTTGGAGTCCCTGGTTTTAGCTCTGCTCCTCTCTAGAATGTTCGAGTTATACTTTCATGCTTCGAGGTCGGTTGCTCCGAACTCCTTTTCTTTTTTATCTTTTGTGAATATTTCCATATCTATGATATGGAAATATCCCTTATTCTCCGAAGAATATTGAAATTCTCTTTTAATCCGATGTTTTCGGTTTTCGATGATTATATCTTAAGAGTTTTCCTCTACTCCGAGCTAGGTCGGCGCGGTCTTCCTGGTCTTGATGGACTTAGGTTATTGCGAGGAGATACTTTTTAGGAAATATGCTCATTTCCCCTCTAACAGTAAGTTATTTAAAGTAAAGATAATTTAGAAACTGAAGATGGCATAACAAACAAATATGCATCACTGATGTAGAGTAGTGCTCTTACAGCTCTAACCGTGTGGATGTAAGAGTTAGAGGCAGTTTCCGGCGACCAGACGAGCTTCATGATCGTATTTTGTTTTCTTTGGGAAAAGAAATGTTTACACAAAGTGAAGTTGATGATGAAGGAGGAAGGTGAATAGGTGATGACATGACGGTTAGGCAGTTAGGTTAATAAGTGGGTGAGGTTTGGCCTTAAGGATGGACTTAGCGTTGACATTTGTATAACTCAATCATCACGTGTCCTTCATTCTCTTCTTCTCTCATTTATTACTTGATCCTTTTGGGATCTTCGACTTTGTTTTTAATAGCCTTTAACTTAAACGAGACGTTTATTTCTTTAATTAGGTCTAGGTCTTGGGTTTAGATACTATGAAGTGTAAAAGATTCGATTTTTTTACTAGGAACTTTTGTGTGCGGGCCGTTATAAACATATCCCTTTCGACAAAGCATTAACCAAAACAAGAAGGCAATAACAACAAATCAGATAATATCCATATTCAAGGCAAAGAAAATCTCAAACATCAAGATCCTTTTGTCACATAAACTCTCAAACGATAAAACACAAAACAAGTACGAGAAACAGTAACCGAAAATTCAAAACCATATAAATAGTTGATACTGAGCAATATGGATAGACTGGAACCAAGTTTTGATCAAAAGCATTTGATACTAAGATCTTCGTTACCCTTAGGAAGTTGCATTAGCTTTCCACAGCTGCTTCCACCTCTATCTTCTTCTCCGGTGGAGACGACGAAATCTCGATCATCATCTTCTTAGTCACCGTCTTTTGCATCACAAAATGGGAAGCTAACGCAACTTCTTCCTCATTCGAACCGTCGAAATTATACATCCGCACAACAGAAACGCGGAAGACGGCATTAGGGAAAGGTTTTGCATCCTCCCACAATTTTTCATGTGCTCTCCCGTTAGTATAACATTCACCTTCTTTTCCAGCAGCATTGTTGTTCTAAAAGGAAAATATGATAAATAAACGTGAGAGGGAAGTTAACAAATTTTATACAACTAATTAGAATAAAACCATGACGTGAATGTACCTTGAACAAGATCTCAAGCTCTGTCATTTCCCTAATGTTCCACATAAGCAAAACTTCCTTCAGTATCTCCACTTCTTTCGGATTAGTTACATCTAAACTCACCGACAAAGATCCACGCCGGGACATATGAAAAAAGTCGCTCTCGCTCACCATAAGCGCATGCCATATGTTTTTCTTCTCCTACGATTCATATACATCACATCATACGTATGTCAAACTATTTATATAAAATTATTTTTCTAAATATGCACATTTTTTTGTGTTAAGTAAGCGTGTACCTGAGCGAGATATGATACATTGTAGCTTAGGTGAGCATAAGAAGAACAAACCCAGTAATCTCTCTTAAACTGGCGGATGTTGGGGGCAGCAAGGATGAAGTCTTCTTCCTCACAGTTGATAAACTTGAGGTCGAGAACATCTAGACAAGCTGCATACACTTCGATCTTTTCAATCTCATAAGCGTAACTCACTTGCAAGAACTTCAAATTGTTGTTCTCGATCTTCAGCACATCACCTTGGGTTAGGGAACTGACTCGCAACACAATCACCTCGAGGGAGGGGCAAGCCACTAAAACATTGTTAAGGACAGTACCCTGGGTGATGAAAGAGTTTACAAGCTTGAGGGTCTTGAGATTCGAGCAATTTCTGAAGGCACGTGGACCTGATAGACTGAATCTACAAAGTGACAGTGAAGTGAGGCTATGATGCGAAAATGCATCTCGGCGCAAGCGGAGCAAAAATTTTGCTTGGTAACGTTCATTGATTCCATGATAGTTGTGGTTTATAAGTGTGAGATCTTTAGTGTCTTTCATACGAGTCGCTATGTTGATCCAACTATCGAGCGTACCATTTTCGCATTGGGATAAGTAATGGTGGATAATGCAGCTCTCTAGGGGGCCACGGTGATTCTTTAGAGTCAGCAGAACATAAAATGATTAGAGATTGAAAAAAACTTGTCAATCAAAACCTATATATAATCTTTAAGAAATTATATATATATATATACACCAAATATCAACAAAAGTTAAATTTTGTTAGTATGTGCTCTATGTGGAGTACACGCAACACATAAATTTCTTTCTAGATTCTCGTTCACTATGGTTCTTTATATATCTACCTTCAAATCTATTGATCATAAGTCACAAGTCATTACTAACATGCCATATCATCATATAATTCTATAGATCATAATTTATAATTTTAGAACGCATTTTCATGATTTAATCCTAAAATTTCAAAAATATTATATAATATATCTAAGGGGTATAGTATTTGATTCACATATCCAAAACTACTTTCATGATTCATCTATCCAAGCATCAGTTTATAAACTGACCCATTTGTGAAAATTTTTATATACAGAATTTCCATACATAAAAGATTAAAATGAAACCCTAATAAATTAATAAGAAAAAAAATAAATTAACAAACCTTGGTCACTGAATTCGCCAAACGAATAGAAACTTTGTGTACATCGATGGTGTGGGTTTTATTTAAGACAGTTCTCATATCCAAGATGAGATGAGGCCTCCATCTCCACAAATCCACCCCATCGTGGCGATACAAGACTTGTCCTCACCGCTTCTTTAGTGGACAATCTCAAGAGGATGTCATGCAGTAGTTCGTCTAGAAGTTTGCTTATCCTATCATTATTGTTAATGATACGATATCAAAACTTTTTGCGTCTTGCCTCAAGTGATGATAATGATAATGAACGCGTCACTATGGTCATTGTGTCAGAAGAGCAAAAGAGAAACCTAAGCAAGAGAGAAAAAGCTGAACTTAAGGTCGAAAAAGGGAGAGATCTGAAAATGATAATGATGTTTATGATAAGATATGTATGGAGGAACTGATAATTGATATTTAAGTATTTTTATTTATTTTGACTAATTTAATTTATTTCCTTTTAATCTTTTAATTTTTGATTTCATTTTTAATGTGTTTCCTTTTAAAAAATATATATAATTTTATAAAAGTAAATTATTAATAAAAATATTTTTTAATTGCAAAGTATGTATTGTTTTAGTTTGCATAATAATAAATTGTCTTGATTTTTAATGAGACATACATATCAGACATTAATATTAGATAAGAGAGATGATGTGTGACATTTTTAAAAGTTTATTATAATTTTATGTTTTCCTTTTAGGAATAATTTCATAAAAAGATATCTAAAGTTTAAATTTTTTTAAAATTTAACTATTTTCAAAGTTTGACCAAAAAAATAAAAATTACTATTTTCAAAGTTTGAACAAAAAAATAAAAAAAAAAATAAAAAAATTTTAAAGAAATTTTCCATAATACTATTAAAAAAATCAATTCCATCACAATGTTTTTGTTTACAACACTAAAAAAGAATTTAAAAATCTTCTCCTTTTTTGGGCTAACTAGTGTTTTTTCCACGCTATGCGTGGATTAGATAATTATATTGTAGTTTTATAAAAAGGTTGTCAATTAATTTTGTGTTTAATATTGTAATAAATTATAGAGTAATATATTTGCATGTGATTCTTAGATATGGTCGAGCGAAATAAATATCAGAATGATGTATATATATATGTGATTTGTATAATAATTTGAAGGTAGATTAATGTATCTTTTAGCTTAGTTAAATTTTTTTTAAGAGTTAATGCATGTTTTTGCAAATATGAAGGGTAAAGTTTGACCTTTTGTATAATAATTTGATGTATATTTTTGTTATATTTTTTGTTTATGTAAATAGTATCCACATGAACTATATATTTTATTAGAAATCTATTGTCTAAACTTGGACATCTTATGTTATAATGCTATTTTTTAGTAAAACGCCATGAGTATTTTTTTTATACTTTCAAAAACTTTTTGCATAAGCTTCCCTTTCGCTTGATGCTTTTAAAAAGAAAAACTCAATCCTTACTCCATTTTGTTTCATATTGTACCTTGGGATTTTGTTTTTAATTTTCATATAGTATGCATTTATCTATTTATCAATTTTTTTATGATTCAATGTGTACATAGATTTTTTATAATTAGTTCATATATTCAACGAAGAAAACAAATGACAATTAATAATAAACTTCTTTATTATATGAGTTCTTTGATAATTGATATAATATTTGTTTGATAGTTTAGCTAGCTCAATCATTTGCCAATATTGGTGAAGAGTGTGGAATTTATCGTTATATGCTATTTGAAAAAAAAAATCTTTTCAGATTTATGTTTCATGAACTTTTGCAAATGAAAATTAAAAAATGGTGAGTAACTGTCTTTAATCACCGGTTCTTTGGTTAGGCTTTTTACTTCAGTTTTTCCACAATATCGCATTACAATGAACAATATGGAACTTTATATCATCTTTAGAAACTTGAAATTTGTTATAAGTCAAAAAGTTACAATTGTATAAATTAATTTTCTCTAGAAGAAAAAAACCCAGTCACTCCTTAAGTTTTATTTTTGGCGAGAAAGACGTTCTCCAGTTCCAACAATACTATTATTGAGACTCATTCTACTCGATTCACATTATAAATATAAATGCAAAACAGTTGTGAGATTTTATTTTTATGTTGCTTACAACAATCTGAAGCATGAGACACATGAGACTTCATTTGTGATAGAGTTGTGTATTATTTATACCATATGTGGCTTATCGCTATGTCTTTTTTTTTTGACATCCACATTGCTATGTCTTTTGGATTTCCAAATGTTTATGATCCACTTATTTAAGTTTTATTGTTTATTATCAGTTTGGTTGTCATTAATTAAAAAGTAAAATTTATGTTTAGTGGGGGCTGATTCCGTTTCTGGTGAGTCAGAGGCGAGATGATTGGAAACCGAGAAGACGGTGACTCCATAAAATAAACTTTTGTTTAAGCTTTATAATTAAGTTTTAGTGTAATTCGTTTTCAGTTTTTTTTTTAACTTTTTTTTTCTTTTATTGAGAATTTAAGAATTATAAAAGTTTTTTTGTAGGTAAAATTTGAAGAAATTTTGATTAATAAATTATTTAATGAAATGATTTTAAATTATTGGTTGAAGATGATGACATAACAGTTTTGAAATCTATCATTGGTTAATTATTTTTGCTGATGTGGCAGCCTTTCCAAGCCTAAAAATATATCTTTTTATATAAAAGAGATACTATTTGTCACACACCCATCTCCATAATTTAGCTAAAATTTTCGTATAATTTAATCTTTGTAAAAAAAAAAAAATCGCACTAAAATATTTGTGAGACAACGCCGACTTTTTTAGGAGTTAGGACTTAAGACTTAGGAATAAGAATATTACCGTTGGGAGACAACGCCGACTTTTTTTCAATTAGAATTAGTTAATTAAATTTTAAGATACACGCGCTAAAGAAAAAAAGGAAAGAACAGAGTGACATAAAAGTTTCCTTTTTTGCTTAGATCTATACTATATATACAGAGTAGGAGTGTCGCAAGATTTTCTACGTAATTCCCAAGGAATCACAAACAAAACAAAAAGAAAATTGAGAGAAAGGTTAGAGCTTAGAAAGGCGATTGAGAAAGCGATGACGAACGACAACGAAGAGCTGTGCAAGATCATCGCCGTCGGCAAGATCATGGCCGAGAAACTGAGTCCGTCGGAGATGGGAAAGTTGATTTCCTTGATTCAAGACTTCGACAAGCACCGAATCAGTCACGGCGATTTCGGCAAATCTATTCAACTTCTGTTCGCGCAAAAACACCAAGAAGATGGAAAGACCCAACAAGAAGTTGAAATCCGACAAAACCATCCTCGTAAGATTTACGATCCTCAACCCGAGCCGAATAGTCTTCCGATTAGGGTTAGAGTAGTCTCGAAAAAGTATGGTCACCCGAAAATCGGAGCCGATCTTCAGGTTAGGGTTAAAGAAGGCGTTACCAAAGTGTTCAGTTTAAACGGAAAGAAGAGAAGGATCTTGGAACCGGACACAAGTGATGAGAGGTCTGTGAAGAAAACGAGAACGTCTAAGAGGATGGAACAAGATGTGTCACCAAGCTATGTGCTTATACCCGAGGAAGCACGGTCTCCGGTCAAAGACACGGTGCTGAACAACACGTGCCGCCTCAAGAGGTTTGATAATGCTTCGGGGTATCATAGACTATCCAAATACCAAGTAGCAATGGCGACTTGCGAGGATGAGATGTTCGAGACAGATATGCTGATGGGTGCTCTGAGGAGTGCCATTGATACTGCAGAGAGAGTCATGAGGGAAGAGATGAGACTGGAAGATGTTGGAGTAAAGTTCTACAGATGCATCGACCAGTTATATGGTGGCAGAGACATGTCTGACATTGTGAGAGAAGACCACAAGAAGGCTTTACCTTTGATCTCCGGTCGGTTGAAGCAGAAACTGGATGAGCTCACATCTGCCAAGGAAAAGAGGAAATATGGCTGGCAGAAGATCTTTCAAGACAACACTGCAAGACAAATGAAGTTAGACAGCAAAAGGCCAAAAGCCAAATGATCTTTTAGATTGTCAGGAATGTAAAAAGGTTCTCTTTTGTTTATTATAGTTCCGAAATTATGTATAACAATTAACAAGAGTGTTTTTATGAATCAATGAAAAGGCAGATTTTAACACTTGCATATCAAAGTTTTCAACCCAAAATCTCTGTCTCGCTATATCTGTATTACGCCATTATAATGTAGTTTATATCTCTCAGGCAGCTAGTATTTACACTGTCATATATCAAAGTGCACTATGCTTAACATGTCTGTGACACATTTTTCTATTGAGATGCGAGCACCAAGAAACTTACCTCGGATTCCACCATTGGTTTACAGCAGAAGTAGTAAGACTGGCTCGGGCTTTGTTTGGCTGATTCTTGAATACAATGAGCCAAGAAGAAAATACAATTAGCTCCTCCGTCATGCATTGCCTTATATTAATGACCATTGATTTGTTGTAAGGAGATGAGATGTCACAGCATTGGCGACGTGGCGGATTCATCTGCCATTTTATTTCAGAGATGAAACAAAAAAATGTGATCCAGGGCCAACTTAAATGTACTTCACAGAGAAGCAATGAGTATTTTTAAACTATACCTGTTCAACATTACGTTCCAGCTTCCGAGACAGAACTTGGATGTGTTGTAGACGCTTAACAGCTTCTGCTCTGTGGCAGTTTCCGACACTATGAAGGTTATAGCTACTCCATGTTCCTTCACCTCCATCTGATCCTACACTGTCCATAAAAAAGACGAGCGGTCTCGCACATGGATCTCTGGATACTCAACAATCCAGTCATTGGTTCAGCAGAGCCAGAAACATATGATCCACCCAACCAAGATGCCTACAGATAAGACAACCACACCATTAACTAGTGGTCACATTAGAATGAGAAAGGCAAAACCATAGTGTTTACACTTTAGAATGACAGATATTGCTAACTTACAAACTCATTTCATGTCTTTGTCAGTCGCATCAGATGAGGGTTCATTTAGAGACCCAACAGCCACTTCACTTTCTGCAGAATTTTGAAAGGATTTAGCAATATACTTTCAACACAAATGAAGAAAATTATAAAATAGCTTTGCTATTCAAGCTATCAAGGCACCTGGAAGTTCAATATCTGCTTTGTAAGAATCAGAACTGATACTGCCCCTGATGGCATTTCCCAAGAAAGAATGAGCAGAATAAGTTTCTGCAAGTTAAAAGTAAACACTTGAATGTCTTACGACTATTACAAAAAGACTCTGCTCCATGTCAGAAAATTAAAGCTTTTCAGTGTATTATTTGCATACCATCAGCTCCAGCGATTTCTAACACAAAAGCAGCACGAGGCCTCTCAAATGGATTAGGCTTTAGAATCCTGTTCAGCTATAACAAAAAAAAAAAAGAGATGATCAACAATTACAAGACTTTAACTAAAAAAATTGAAAAAAGTATACTTTACTAGAAGGGTCAAAAACCTTGGATGAGCCATCAGCTGTCAAAGTTGCTGAAGGTGCAAAACCCAACAAGGCAGACACTGCTGCAGATACTTCAGAGATCGACATGGGAAGCGCCTGAGGATATTTTCAAATTAAAGAAAGAAGATAACTAAATCTGATTATGGAATCTCACATGTTGCAAATTTTCTCAATATAGTAGAAACAATGTGCCACAAAAGAACAGCAATCACCATTAGATTTCAGCTCAAAAACTCAAAAGAGATTCATTCATGAGTTGGTACATAAACATTCACACAAAAGAACTATCAACTCACAAAATTAAGTAGTAGTCAAACATGAATTTTGAATGTGATCTCTAATCAAGAGCCAAAAAAAGACAGGGTGAGAAGCAGCGAAACGAATAATACGTAGAAAGTTTTCATCTTTAGAACGAGAATCGACGGGAAGAGAGAGAGAGAGAGAGAGAGAGAGAGAAGAGAGATCGGAGTTTATCTGACGAGATGTTTAATGGAGGAGACAGAACCAGATTTCGGGATCGAAGTGGTAGACACACACCTTGAAACCCATACGGTGTCGTATTCTATACAGTCCAAAGATCGGTCCAACCCGGTATTCAGTCTGGTTAAGGTTTGCTTGTCTGGTATTTTTTTTTTTTTTTAATTTTACTTTTTGGCTTTTACGATTTACTGTATGTGTTTATAATGAAGACCGAATTGTGTGAATTTCGTTCGGTTCGTTTTTATACACGGTTTTGGTTTTAATTAGTACTAGGTTTTTGGTTTAATTCCTTTTTTTTAGTTATTACTCTCTACCAACATAATCAGATATGGCAATCAAATCAACTAGAGTTATCCGAAAAAAATACTACAGCTTAAAAAGGAAAATATTAACTACACTTATCCAAAGTCAACCAAAGAATGCAAGTAAAATAATGCTTTGGTCACTGAACTAAACTTTTCAAATGCATCAGCATCGATGTTCCTATGAAGTGTGAACCATCAGCTTCTCAATTCTAATAAGTTAAGTTCAAGGCTTTTGACTGTAGAACCGCGAAAATTCAGATTGAAAATCACAAATATAAAAATGATTTAAATCAATAATAAACGATAATAAAAGGATAAAAACCTTTAAAGAAAGATACAGAGTCGAGATATGATCTCTTTTCTTAATTCTTTAAATCTCCCGCAGTGTGGCGGTTTGAAGAGATTCAGAATCCCAGAATACAATCGTGTTGAGACTAAAGTCGCAGCACCCGACTATAGAATCTGCAAACTTAGAATCTACGCTATACTCTCGAGACTCATCTAAGACTGTAGAGACGAGAGGGTTTGCTAGATATTTGTGTTTGAAAGCTTATTGCTTTTCTGGATGATGAATAATGAATGAGAGAGGTTCTTATTTATAATGGAATAGAGGTTTGTGGTACAATGAATTTTCCTTATTACTCACAGAAAATAAACAGAAATATTCTGAATATTTTTGTTCCTTGTTCAACAAGGTTAAGGAAAAATGGAAATATCCCGAAAACCTTTATACCTTGTTTAACAGAGGAAATGGAAATATTCCAAAAATCTTTATTCCTTATTTGACAAGGATAAGAGAAATGAAAATATTTCATAAAATAATTCGACTCAATCAATAAAGATTTATCGATATTATACAAAATTATAAATGGAATATTGACAATTTTATTAAATAAGTCAATAAAGATTTATTCCAAAAAAGAAATTCTTTTATGGTTTTGCATAATAGCCCTCATACTTCCAATATATAACAAATGCACATCTTGACTTTTACTCTTGATTATATATTCATCTTGACCATTTATTTCTTATTCAAATTAACTTCGATTTTGACAAGTAATTACATTGTCTATTAGTGCTCATTACAAAGATTTCAAAGAATCCATAATTGCCAAAATTTAAGTTCCAACATCGACTATCTCAAATATGATGTACTAAAATGAAACATACAAACTAAACTTATCATCAAAACCAAATAAGGCAAGTAAATTAATGCTTTGGTCATGGAGCTAAACTTTCCACATGCAGAAATCTCTCTTGTTCAGAAATCAGTATTACTGTCAATTCCAAATAAATCAAATTAAGGTTTTTGTTTAATATCTTAAATCTTACCAAATTATTGCAACTGATTTAGTAAAAAATTCAAATGTTGGAGAAGATGTTTTCTTCTTTACCTGATGAAATCTAAGTTCATGAGTTAATGTGACACCAAGCTCATCATTGTGTATTCTATTTTGACTTCTCCACATCCTGAAATGAGCAACCACATAACTTCTACAAGAAACTTAGAAAACATTTAGTTTCTTCTGAAACCATAGAACAAAGCTCCTTTCTTATAGTTTAATTCCTCAATATCTTCTGAGATTCATAGATGTTTGCATCACTTCATTTCATTATTATTAATTTGTTTAGACGAATCCATGTAACATTCCTCAGAGAAGGAGCAATAATGGATCTAATCATCTCAGCTCGGAATTTCAAATTTGAAAGTATATTTTAAAATCACAGTACTCTTCAACAGGGAATCCGATGAAGCATACGATTATCTAGCTCGAGCGAAGGAATTCAAGTTCTTTCATGCAGCTGAGAATATGAACAAATAAAATGAAGAATCAGTACAAAAATCGAGGAATAAACAGACGATAGAAAAGTAGAATATCTGCAAATCTATTGAAGATCGAGAGATCTGTTATGTGAATCTTTCATAGAAAGAAACTTCTGTTTGGAGATAAATTTTTGTGCTATTTAAAAAAAAAAAAAACTCACACTATTGGTAAAGGACCGAAGTTGAAAGACGATTTTAATTTTCAGAATGGCGGAAGCGAGAGTCACAAAATCATGAAAAATCGCCGCTGGATTATACCGTTTTTAAACATTAGCCCCCTAAGTATAGTTTTAGTCAAATAGACCCAGAGAACTAGAGTAATTGCAATTCCGGTTCAGTTTCTTTACCAATCGCTAACGTTCGGTTCAGGTATTGAACCGGCCTTTAAACAATTTAAAGATGTTTACTCTTCTTATTTTAAAGATTTTGACAGAATTCTTTATTTCTTCTACACTTTTACATGTAGAGTTTTAGCTATAAAAACATCATGACATTACGTATTTGGAAAAAAAGTTGGTGAAATTTCCGCTGAATCGCAGAATAATTCCCAAATTCAGGGGATTTTTCAATAAAAAAAATTCTTATGATTGTCAACAATATATCGGGATTATGACGTCATATTCAAATAATTACATCAATAATTTTTATGTATTTTATATATTAAAAAGGGCTTAATAATAAGATATGTACATGATTCTGACCCAAAAAGAAAATATCCGCATAGTAACATTATTAAGTGTAAAAGGGAGTATAAATAAGAATAGACGCGTGTGTAACAAGAAAGAAAACCAAAAAATTGAAAGAAAGCTTGAAGGTTGATTGAGAAGCGATGCCGACGCTGAAGCGGAACGTGGTTGAGATATGGAGTACCATCAATGAGAGACTATCTCCGCCGGATTTGGAGACGATCACCTCCTTGCTGAAAGACTTTACGAACCACAGAATCGAGAAGAAGCAACTCATTACCTCTGCTCTGCTCCTATTCAAGAACGACGAGATTCTCCATCGACGCTTCACGGAATTTCTCCACGGGATTAGGTCTCAAGAGGATGAAGACAGAGAGTCGTCCCGAAACGATGAAGTTTCCGATATTGAAGAAGGCGAGATTCGAGAAGACGAGGAGGCGAATCATCTTGAGATTGGGGTTGAGTTGGATCAGAACCCGAGAGAAGATCCTCTTCATGGCGATCAAAAGATTCAAGAGATCGATTTGGCGGGAAAGAAGAGGAAGAGAGGAATCTTGCAAGGGGTTCTTGTAGAGGACGACGACTCGAAGAACAAGGCTGAGAAGGAAACTACGGAGTTAGAGCGAGTGACACCAAGCTACAGGCGTATCCTCAAGGAAGAACAGTCTCCGGTCTCAGACGAGGTGCTGAACAACGAGTTCGTATCAGTGGGTCTGAAGAAAGAAGGCCATGTGTGGGGCGGGAAGAAACTAACCGAGTACGAGAAAGTAATGGCGAGATGCGAGAACGATATGTTCGAGACAGATATGCTGATGAGTGCTCTAAAGAATGCAGTGGAGATTGCAGAGAAAGTCATGAGGGAAGAGATGAGACTGGAAGATGTTGGAGTAAAGTTCTACAGATGCATCGACCACTTATATGGTGGCAGAGATATGGCTGACATTGTGAAAGATGACCACAAGAAGGCTTTACCTGTGATCATGGGTCGTTTGAAGCAGAAGATCGATGAGCTCAAGCTTGCTATTGAAAGATGGACCCCTATCTGGAAGAAAGTCTGGAAAGAGAACTCTGCAAGGGAAAGAGATGGTTCTACTGCAGAAAGCCGCAGGGAAAAGTGAAGCAAAACAGCAAATTTGAGTCAGGTTTTAGACGGGGAGACATGTAAAAAAGGTTGATTTCGTTTTGGTTTTATGTTCCAGTAATGTGTGGTGAAACACTATAGATGCAAGAATGTTTTGTAAATACAGGTCAAGGAATTTCAAATACACCATTATCAGGTAATAAGAGTAGTGTTGATCCAAGTCACGACCTTGAAATTTCATGTATCTTAAGCACCTAATGTTTACAGAGTCATGCACCAAAGTTAGGAGTTTTGTGAATCAAAACAACAAACACAAAGAAGATATAAAGAATAGAGCTCGGATTATTACTTCATATGATTTAATGTTTGTGGGAGTTTTAGTCCTGAAGTAGTTTGAGGTGAAATCTCTAAAACAAGCAGAGAGGCCTTTGAGTTTGAGGTAGAATCCAAGATTGCACAACAAATCCTTGGTAGAGTCTCCTGCAATTCCATTATAAGGTCTTAGGTTAGCTTATCTTTGCTGGAATTATAAGAAACAAGTGCACATAGATTCATTCTTGATTGGGTTACATATCCCATAAGATACCCAAAAGTAATCAATCAGTGTTAATTATCTTTGCACAAGAACAAATAGATTAAGCAACAGGGATCAGAATATTAATTTGTTGAGTTATGCTAAAGTCTTTTTTCCCACATGTATATGTTTGATGTCTTATAACACTGCTACAGAGATATGACATAATTGTTCTAAAGAAACATGAGAGAATAGTTGCGTCATGCTAAGCAATCACAAGGCCAAGTCAAGATTATAACTAACTTGAGATTTGAGACCTTTTCTCTAGTCCTCACTCTACTGACTCTATTGAAATTTGAGACCTTTTCTGACTCACAAGACTCTAAAATTTAGAAAATTTGACCCTTATCACAAGAGTAACCCAATAATGCGAAAGCTTAATAGTAACAAAACCAAATGCTACCTTTGGAGTCACTTAAGAGTTGGTCCCAAATGTGAAGGCTGTCCACACAAAGTGTGATCCATCTGATACCTTTTTGATTTTCCATTCTCCTTGTTACTTGTAATTAGGTAGGCACAAAATTATTTAGAAATCCAAAACATCAAAGAAGGTCCTTGGCATGCTCATTACAGTTGTAACACTTGCAAGATTCTAGTCCAACATTGTCAAGATGTCAGCCATAATATTGTATGTAATCACATCATAGTCTATTAAGCTCTTATTGACAAAATATGCCCTAATGTCTTACTCAATTGAACCATTGTAAGAAAGTCATTACCAGAATAAAATGCTCATCAATCATTGGACCTTTCAGGATTCATCAGAAGCTCCTTTCTCCTTTGAGTTTATGAGTTTTTTCAGGATCGAAACCCCATCAAAAGCTTGCAACTGCAAAATCAAAAGGAACTTTCTTCAATGCAAAATTTTGTTCTTCCGCATCTAAAAAACCGAATCACTACACACTCCAATTGAATTCTCTAATCAAAAGATGGATTCGGATAGACACAAAGACGAGATTGTTTGAGCTCTGATGAACGGGAAAAAAGCACCACTAACCACGATTCTCCGTCTCTGCTTTTCGAAGAGGACGAACCATCGGAGTTGCGAATTGAGGTTGAGCCACGTTTGCTGGGGAGATTGAGCTTTTTGATTTGGTTACAAATAATGAGTCTTTGATTGGCTAATCACAATGATGTAGAATACGTGCGCAGACACGTCATCACTTGTTGAGCCATGTCATCACTTGCTGAGCCATGTCATCACTCGCTGAGCCATGTCATACTTTGACCTTTAAAAAACCTAGGACAATTAAACATTTTTATTTATCACTTGTTTCCTTCCTTTTTTTAATCACTAATTGATTTTTCCAAAAATACCGGGAAAATATTGAAATTTAAAAAAAATAATTAACTAATTTGATTTGTTTTGTGTCTGTTAGATGACTTGCATGAATTTTAGGGTCAAAATAAAAAATATCTTAGCTCAAAAAAAACAGTCTATATGATGATTTTACTTTTTTCGAGTTTCATGTTATACTGTTGATCATCGACACGTTGATTAGTAGAACATGATGAACACCACACGATTCAAATAAAAACGAAAATTACCAAATAAAACGAACAAAGAAACACAACTTTGGATGGTATTATTTCAATGAGCTATAGTATTTACACGGTCATGTACCAAAGTTTAGGAGTTTTATGCATTAAACAGCAAAAGACACGAGGACATGATGACGAATAGAGCATGGATGTTTAATTATTTGGAGTTTGATTAGCCAAAATCTCCTCTCTCTATATACTTTCTTCGTTACTGAATCAATCAATTTGAATAAAAAGGAAATTTAAATCTGATATTTTGCTTGGGTTATGGGTATGTGTGAAGTAGGGTGTAGGGATATATGTTAACGTTTAGTGTTCGGTCCTGAACAGATCTTTCTGTTATCGTTGCATCAATCGTGGGAAGTTATAAGCATTTTGTGGCTTATAAGTGCCTGAAATGTGTATTCATGCTTAAGTTGATGGTCATCTAATTTGTTGGAAGTATGAGTTAACTTCAAAGATGGAACATTTTGAATGATGTGTATGTTAAATTACTTAGAATTATTTTACAGTTGTCAGGTTTGTGGAATTTACAAGATGATGATTAATGATGTCTCGACGATCATTGTGGTACATGGAGAGGAGACTTGGACGGTCGTGCCTCCTGGTGGGCTTATTTGCCACTGCTTAAACTCACTCCTGAAGCATTGGACAAACCTAAGCTACAAAATTATATTTCCACTTCTGCAAACACCAACAGCATTGGACAAACCTAAGTTACAAAATTATGGCCTATAAAACCAATAATCAGAGAATATCTGCTGCTATGTACCCCATTCCTCCCTGGCGAAAGGATCAATAGGTGCCATCTGTAGATATCAGAAGTTAAACTTCCACAACAAAGGCCAAAAATTTGCAACATTCACACAAAAAAGTTTTCATTGAATGAAATCTTATGGAATATAAATCAAGAGATTCTAGTGGTTCCAAGGAATTACCCTTCCATGAGAGGCCTCTTCTAACATAAGACAATAATCGTATCCCCTAAACTAAACATTTGTAAATATTGCGTTACATTTAAAAATTTGTAAACCAAATTTTATTCTGTTTTGAGATCACGATAATCTTAGCCAATGTAATGGCTGACAGATGATGTTCAACGGCTATAAAGAGAATGCAACGGTTGACATAAATGCAATCCTTGTCCTCGATCTTAATGTCTATGGTATTATCTTATATATCCAAGAAGAGAATAATTATTTGATAATATATTTATCAACTGCATGCTTGGTATCATAATTATCTTCATATAGATGAATGAGTTCAAAGTTAGAGATTTTCTCTAGTAAGAGCATCGCAAAAATACTGACCAAATCATTTGGCCACAACGTCCTGAATTCTGATATCTTTTATGCAGGGCCGGTCTAGAGGGTAGGCGGGCTAAGCCAGCGCTTAGGGCCACCAATATTTTTTAAAAAATTAGGTTAAAAAATAAGTCATAAATTTTGAAAAAATTTAAAAAATAGGCCACAAATTTAAAATGACCAAATAAAGTTTATATTTTCTTCTTTTATAGCTTTGGGCCACTATTTTAATTGGACCGAACCTGCTTTTATACAGTTCATATTGGTCAATTCTTGGGCAAACAAACCAACAACGCTTGCATGTTGCTTGAATGGCATTCAAATAATTTTTATATCAAAATATGGCATCGAAATACTGCAGCAATTACAATTGATATCGTCCAGCATTCGCTACACAATATGCTATTCCTTAGCCAGATTCTCCTAATGCTTTTTTGTAGATAATGTATCTCCAATCAACCACCTGATTTTGGACAAGACTGTTGGTTGGGTTATATATACACCCGATTGAGGTTTGACATTGTCATGACCATCATTAGATCGGTCTCATTGCTACTTTTACCCACCTCTTCAACATGGTGGCCAGGTTTTGAATTTTGAGCACCGACAAACAATCACTGATCATTCGCATGACGTACCTGGTCGAAGAATTGTGAGTAGACACTACCTGGTTGAAGGGCATCATAGATCTAAACGCAAGGAATGTGTGGATTCACTTTATAGATTTTTGTCGTTGATTTCGGTTGAACCACAGGTTCAGCTCCCATAGGAGTGTTTGGATTCGCTTTATAGATTTTTGCATGACTCCATAAATTTTTGTGTGATTCAATTAAATCACTTCGTCTTTGCTAACAATATTTCAGTCTTCACGAGTTCTCTCTCTACCTCTCTATTTTTCTTTAGCTATTTAATTGTTGTTTAGTTTTCTGTTGAAGGCTCAGCCTTTTTCAAGCTATTCTTCTTATTAATTAATAAATTACATATTTCAACAAAATGCGAAAATAATAAACATCCACAATTATATATATATATATATAACAACATTTCCTGTGAGAACAAGGAAAGAAAATGAAACATACGTTTAATAACAATAACAACTTTCTAATTTCAATATGAAACAACATTCATAAAACTGTGTTAACAAACAATTTCAATAACATGTCACAGTTTCATGAAACTGAATTAGTGGAAGCCGAAAAGAACAACACATAACCAAACATAATACAAGTACGTACTTAAATGTAAACCCTCGACATCTCTTTTCTTCTCTTTCAAACCGGAGAAGTTTGATAGCAAAGATCCTGCCTCTGCATCTAACAACGTAAGCTTTTTTTTTTTAATAACTTTTAATTGATTTAAATAGATTGAAAGCACCTTGCTTTGAATAACTGAAGAAACAATCTACTATACATTAAAGTAGAAACACTCCTGGCCAATTTAGCTGATGTGTCATTCCCTCAATTTTTCTCAGAATTTATCTTTATTTAATTCAATAACTAAAAACAAATTATTTTATAAAATACAAACTATAAACCAATTTTCTTTTTTGCTCCACAAAACCAGCATTAATACATGTTATTTAAATTGATAAAGAAAATATTTAATCAAAAAAAAATT